GTCACTGTTTCAAGTATAACTAATAAACAATTAACTCTCACCAGATATCATTTTGCTGACCTTGATGGTTTAAAATAAGACTGCTGGTGTAAAACCACACATATTTCCCTGACCCATTTTGCATTTCAGCGTTCCTACTTTGTGCCTGCGACAAAGCTACAGGGAGAGCAAAGCCCTGAGAGCAAGCAGAGCAACCTGCTGCTTAGACCTGTAACCATGCGATAAAATCCTGGGGGAATAAAAACATCAACCCATTAAAGAAACCTCTCACACAGGAAAACAAAGCACAGCAATTTATGATCAGGAATAGCTGTGCAGTAAGCAAAACAGGACCGATCGACAACATTCACCAATGTTCAACTAAAGCTTATTGGCAAGTGGACAGAGATGCACTTTTTCAGTTGAGGTGTGCAATCTAAAGCCTCTAACAATTTTATTATGATTAAAGGTAGGGCTGGACCAGACGATATGGCCAAAATTGATATCACAATATACAATCACCGGCCAATTTATTAGGTAAACCTTACTAGTAGTGCTCCAGATTTGTCGGCTGTACATCCATGATGCCAATCTCCCGTTCCACCACATCCCAAAGGTGCTTTATTGGATTGAGATCTTGTCTAATTTTGGTAAGCCTGTGCGAATTGCAGCCTCAGCTTCCCGTTCCTAGCTGACAGGAGTGGCACCCGATGTGGTCTTTTGCTGCTGTAACCCATCCGCCTCTAGTTTCAACATGTTGTGTGTTCAGAGATGCTTTTTTGTCAGCACCAGTGGTATAGTGGTTAGTGCGTCGGCACATGCACTCCAGTGCTCACGGCGACCCGAGTTAGATTCTGCCTCGCGGTCCTGTGCCGTTTCTTACCCTCTCTCTGCTCCCCATGCTTTCCTGTCAATTGGCTCTACTTTCCCATCCAAATAAAGGTGAAAACTTAGAAAAAAAGAAAAACAGATACTATTCTGCATACCTCGGTTGCAACAAGTGATTATTTGAGTTAGTCTGGTGATTCTCCTCTGACCTCTGGCATCAACAAGGCATTTGCACCCACAGAACTGCTGCTCACTGGATTTTTTGGACGAAAAATCTCAGCCCTTTAAGGGGTCCATGGATCATGCTTGACTTTGATTTTCATTACGCACACTGCAGTTGTTTTCCTGTCATTTAATCATTTTAAAAATAAATCATCTTTTTGAACATTTATGAATCGCAACTATTCACACGTCTGCTGGCATAACCCAACTTTTCAGGAGTTTTGGATAGCCGTTTTTGGTGCAGATCAATATTTAGATGGCAGCTTTCACATTTATCAACTGTATTAAGCAAGCAACCAGAGTTTGTTTTAGTTTAACTAAATCTGCCAAGGTTAAACAAGCTCAGAGAACATCCAAAGCAATCCTGTGTGCGGGACAAAACACAGGTATGTCCACATACATATATTACAATCAGAATTCACTCAGAACAGCAGCAGGAACTCCTGTCACACACAAATAACATATTTCTGACATGTGTGCTGAACTGTGATAAACAATATCACAACTAAAAAGAAAAGAACTTGCGACACCATGTCCTGTTTTGGGTTTGTTTAGATGCGTTTCGTCTGTGTTGAGTGTTCAAAATGCAGTCAAACTACATTGCAAAGTTTGGAAGTGGACAAACCAACCTTTTCAGTGGTCTTGGTCAACTGGTTTTGTGCACCAAGGCTCAGATTAAAGTATTCACCACTTTTTACAATGAAACGCACTTACACAATCACACCAGAGTTTGAATTAACCCAGCCAAATCTGCCATATCTAAACTAACACCCTAAAAATAAATATTATTAAACTTTGATTAAAACACAAATTTAAGCAGTTCATAAATCATCTACAAAAAAGCAGGATGGTCCTTCTTATTGGAGCATAAATCCCTTCCTCCTCAAAGAAAGTTCAAATGCTTCAGTGATGTGTTATTCTTCATGATGCCTTCCAACAAGTGTTTAAACAGCCAAATTAAAACTATTCACTGTGATATTTACCTAATCAGCTCTGCCAAAAGCAAACCTTTTTTTAATTATCAGTAAACCATGTATGCAGAGCTTTCTACATTACAAAATACATTGACTTTGCATGACACACTGTAAAAATAGAGACATGGGGTAACAGGGTATATACAGAACTACAGGGTCAGGGTGTAAAGTTTAGTCTTTGAAATCAGAAAAACTCATTTAACTAAGCAACACTCATCTAACAGCAAATAATGAACTGTGAAACTTAGTGCGTGTTGATGTTTATCTGCTGACCTGACTTGCAGAAATTGTTCTGTCAAATTGTTGCACAATCTCTAGAAACTCTAAACAAGACTAGCCTGCAGGAAAGAAACTACCCCAGGTTTTACTAACTAGCATTGGGTTAAACCGGCTTATAATATACAAAGCACTAATACGACAATCAATTTATTTATGTATTTTACTTACAACTTTTTTTGACACAGCTAACTTTAAAGTAAACCACATGCTCATCAATTTAAACTGCTCGTCAATATATGGCCTACCAGTAAATGACACAACACTAAAGTATTTATGAGTAAATTGAACTATTATGCACACCAGCCAAATAATTAAGGTTAGTCAAAGAAATACCTATCAAAGACCAATGCAATGGTTACCGTATTTACTCATTTAGCCAGTTAACACGAATATACTGTAACTGCTCCCTATTAGGAGATATAGATCTAAGAGCTGCACAAAATTGGAAAAATCGGATATTGCGATATTTAATTGTTCTGCGATAAGTATTGTGATATAAATATAGTTTCACAAGATAATAGCTCTATTTGATAGTTTTCTGGGGAATCTAACAGTTTGCAGGTACAGAAATTGAATAACCACAATAGAAACAACAGCTTTTCTTACTTTTTGTTTTCTTTTCAGTCCAAATATCAAAATATTCTTAGAGCAAGTTTTGTTTTCACCATCAGAAGAAATAAGTCACAATTAAGAGATTTTCCTTAAAACAAGCTAAATTATCTGCCGGTGGGGTATGCAAAATAGTCTGCTTAATAATCTGAAATATAGATATCTGGAATAGAAACTACAAAAATTCAAAGTAATTTTTTTTTTTTTTGCATAAATATTGTGAATTCTGTACAAATACAGTGATTAAATACAATTTTGTAGCTCCTACTCAACAGTAATTCAGACTCCACATTGCACATCTTCGCTATGTGACTATTGCGGGTGCGCACATAGCGATATCGAAGCTGAAACGATATATTGTGCAGCCTAGATAGATAGACGGACGGACGGACGGACGGATGGACGGACGGATGGATGGATGGATGGATATATATGGTACAGTAGATGGATGAATGGATGTTCTCTAGATTAACTGGATATATTGGGTATTAATTTACTTTTTATGCAGATAGAAAGATGGATACATGGAAAGATAGCTGGCACGCAAAGACTAACATTACATTAGCAAAAGTTTAAATGAACATAGCTAAATTCATAGCAATTATTAATCATAATCAATTAAATCAGAAGAGACCCTAAACAACAACAAAAATTCTAAGTATGATTTTTTATTAATCAAATAAATTCTGTACTAATACAGTGATTAAATACAATTTTGTAGCTCCTGGTCAAGTATAATTCATACTCAATATTGCATATCTCTGCGATGTGAATTGCGGATGCGCACATTGCAATATCGATGATAAAACGATGGATGCATGTATGGATGGATGGAACACAAATTTAAGGCTAACGTTACATTAAAAGTTTAAATGAACATATAGCTAAAGTCTTAGCAAGTATTAAACAGAATTAATTAAATCAGAAGAGACCCTAAACCGAGTAAACAAAAAGTTTACTATCCAAAAAACTAACTTAAACATTAAATGATCTCAAATTAAGTTGGGCTTATCCATTATCTGCCAGTAGTTTAAGTGAAATAATCTGACTTTCCCTTTGAATCGTATAAGTTATATCTAGACTAGAAACGATTTTAAGTAAGATTTTTGCATAAATTATTTTTTGCATAAATCATATAAATTCTGTACAAATACAGTGATTAAAATACAATTCTGTAGCTCCTACTCAACTATAATACATGCTTAACATTGCACATGTTTTCGATGTGACTTGTTGATGCGCACATTGTGATATGGATGGTAAACGGTATATTGTAAAGCCCAGATAGATAGATAGATAGATAGATAGATAGATAGATAGATAGATAGATAGATAGATAGATAGATCGATAGATCGATAGATAGATAGATAGATAGATAGATAGATAGATAGATAGATAGATAGATAACCACACAAAATTAAGGCTGTAATAATAAAAAAGTTTAAATGAACAAATAGCTATAGCTTAGAATCAATTAAATCAGAAGAAACCCTAAACTAAGTAAACAAGTTTACAGTCCAAAAAAACTAACTTAAACATGAAAGGATCTCATATTAAGGTAAGTTTTACCATTTTTCTTAACTATTAACACCGCAACAATACTTTGCATATACAACATAAATTATGCACTAACAAAAAATAGGCTCAGTGAGACGGATAGTTTAGAATTATTTTTTTAAATTATAAAATAAAAATATATAATTATTTAAAAAATCATAATCTGCGTTTTTCAGACAAGTAGAGATCTAATATGGAGAGATAAATATAGATTGTGTAACAGTGGCGCGTCGTGATAATTCACTTTAACAGTCGCAGCTGGATTTAATGACACTTTAACCTCAAAGTCTATAGCTGGATGTGTCATTAGAGAGCATGTGAAAACCCCCAGAAATGAGTTTCCCCGAAAACACTGGGTTTTGTTTTAGTCGTCAACTTGAGAGGAAACGATGCTGAGCCGCCCACCGCCAGAGCCAGCGCGATTAGCTACAGCAGGCTAGCACAACTGGGGCTCCTTACATACTCACAAACCTCCCAAAGATGGAGAAAATACACTCACACACAGGCCAACTGAAGAAAAAAAGATCTTGAAATAAGATTTAAGAACTTACCTGACCAGCCCGGGACAGTTTGGTGGAGTATTCGGTCAGATATTCCGTTACTCCTGTGTTTTCGTACGAGTTCGTCGACTCTCGCTTGTCCTGTCGGAGTTGAAAGCGCTGCATGCACAGGAAGTGATGCGCGCTCACGCAGAGTGTGCACGCGCAGGAGGACACTTCTTCTTTTTGCCTTGAAATTACCGTGGAATGTCTCAATAGCTTTTTGTAACGCCCTGTGTAATTATTTGTACTCCGTGTCATAGTAATTTTAATTTAATCATCAGCTTCTATTACTCATCCATAAAGATTGTGAATGTAAAAGAGTACTAGCCTACTTTAGCCTGATTCACTGTGATTTGCGCACTGAAATTGGCAAAACAAATGTACTTGTCGTAATTATTAATATGAAATCATTCTTAATTAATACTTTTAAGATGTATACAATGAGTATGAGGAATTAGCAGGCATTAACAAGGTCACAGTGCATAAATTAGGTTAATTTATCACCTAAATTGTATTTGCTCTTAAAAACAACTTTAAAGTATTATTATTTTATATCTGTACATTTTTTTGTATTAATAAAAATCTTCAAAATCTTCATTTACTGTTATCTTATATTATTTCATCTCTGAAACAAATTTTTAAGGTGGCAAAATGTATCTAATACATTTATGTTTTATACTATTCATGCTAAAAATCATTATTTTATCTATAATTAGTTTACTTTTTACGTTTTTAAATTTGGAAATTCTTAGATCACGTATTTATAAATGCAATTATAACAGAAATATAGATTATAGTTAGATATATTATAGACACATTATTTTGTGCAATTTGTTTTATCCATTTAGAAATATATTTAGTCTTTATAGATTTTGAAAAGCTATTTAAAATTGGTACATTTTATATATACATAAAGAGAATGAGTAATTCTAAGTAATGTTTTGAGTGCTCTGATTCTCTTAACCCTTGTGCACTGTTCACTACCCTTTTGTTATGTTCAGGATGAAAACATCCTCTAAATTAAACTGCTTCCCAGAGATGGGTTGCGGCTGGAAGGGCATCCTCTGCGTAAAAAATGCGCTGGATAAGTTGGCGGTTCATTCTGCTTTGGCGACCCCGGATTAATAAAGGGACTAAGCCGACAAGAAAATGAATGAATGAAATTAAACTACTATTTTAAACTGCTATATTTTTTAAAATTCTTTTGCATAAATCTGTTAATCAACCTCAGTCCTGATCTAAACTACTAAATTGTTTAGAAAATTGACAGAATTGTAACTCTTTAATTGCCAAATTCACAAATGAAATTACTAATTTGGTGAAAAAAACACACAAAATTAAGTATTTTCAATATAAAATGTAATTGTGGACTGGATTTTTTTTTAACCTTTTATCGCGGTCACAGCTTTTTCACAAATAACCACTCGCTACAACTGAGTTATACAGAAGAGCATCTCTGAACACACAACACGTCTAACCATAGGACGGATGGGCTACAGCAGCAGCAGACCACACCAGGTGCCACTCCTGTAAGTCAAGAACAGGAAACTGAGGCTACAATTCACACAGACTCACAAAAATTGGACAACAAAATTTTGAAAACATAAGAATAAAAACATTGCCAGGTCTGATGAGTCTCAATTTCTGCTGCGACATTCAGATGGTAGGGTCAGAATTTGCTGTCAACAACATGAAAGCATGGATCCGTCCTGCCTTCTATCAACGGTTCAAGCTGGTGGTGGTGTAAAGGTGTGGGGGATATTTTATTGGCACACATTGAGTCCATTAGTATCAATTGAGCATACCATGGCAATGCCACAGCCTACCTGAGTATTGTTGCTGATCATGTTCATCCCTTTATGACCAGTCATCTGATGGCTACTTCTAACAGGACAACGCACCATGTCATAAAGCGCGAATCATCTCAGACTAATTTTTTGAACATGACAGTGGGTTCACTGTACTCAAATGGCCTCCACAGTCACCAGAACTCAATCCAATAGAGCACCTTTGGGATGTGGTGGAATGGGACATTAGCATCATGGATGTAAAGCTGACAAATCTGCAGCAACTGTGTGATGCTAACATGTCAACATGGACCAAGATCTCTGAGGAATATTTCCAGTACCTTGTTGAATCTATGCCACGAAGGATTAAGGCAGTTCTGAAGGCATAAGGGAGTGCAATCCAGTACTAGTAACATGTACCCAATCAAGTAGCCAGCGAGTGTATATGTATACATGTGTGGAATAGACGTATTTGTATACATATGTATTTGTATTAATAATAATGACAATTATTTTTATTATTTGTTCAGTTCCAATTCGTTATACGTTCATGAAAAACAATAACAACTAAGAATGAAAAAACAAAGAACAGTGGACTGGACTTCAGTGAACGCCATCTAAACTACAGATTATCATTCAGCACTAAAATCAATGATAGACTGACTGACATTCCTTGAAGTTAAAAGTTCAGATGATGTCATTATCATAGACAAAGTCCATAACACTTATATATTAGCTGGACATAAATTGTAGGCAAGATAATCCAGCCATATCTATAATCAGCAGCATGCAATAAAGTTTTTAACCAACTGATAAACTCATAAAAACAACAGCATAAAAACATTTATATATGAAGCTATTGAGCAAGACTAAGCCCAAATGAATCACTCGAAATAACTAAGTATTAGCAAAATCAAACTGCATTCATTTAAATACACTATTTAGCAGTTTAATGTGTTTAAATATATTCAAAGAGGAGAGTATTCAGAGTCGTTTCCTAAAACTCTCCAGACCAGTTCGACCTGATCAGGCAAATCTGAATGTGCAGGACAATAGCGGGCTGATGCTGATTACCCTAGAAAAATATAAATTATTCATGCTGAAACACAAGGTATGACGTGACTGTGATGGGACACTGATAAGTGAACTGCAGTACACAATACTGAGCTGTATGCGCATTCTGTTTATCAAGCTCCACCTTGTGGTGAACAGCATTGATACCGATAAAGATTTAAATGATTCAACTTTTCTGCAGATTTTCCCGATTAGTGGTTTTCAGAATGTACAGTATTCAGTACAGTATACAGAACTCAAAATACATTTCTGCTGCTTGTTCATTCATTCATTTCCATCCTCTTTTACGGGGCCGTGTCACAGGGGCGGCAGTCTCAGGAGAGAACCCCAGACTTCTTTCTCCAGACACTTCCAGCTCCTCTGGGGGAATCCTGATTCATTCCCAGGCCAGCCGAAAGACATAGTCCCTCCTGCGTGTCCTGGGTCTTCCTCGAGGCCTCATGCCTGTGGGACATGCCTGAAACACCTCCCTAGGTAGGCATCCAAAACAGATGCTCAAGCCACCTTAGCTGACTTCTCTCAATGTGGAGGAGCAGCAGCTTTACTCTGAGCGCCTCCTGGGTGACAGAGCTCCTCACCCTGTCTATAAGGGTGCGCCCTGCGAAGCAAACTCATTTCAGCCGCTTGTATCTGAGATCTTGTTCTTTCGGTCATGATGATAGGTGAGAGTTGGAACATACAGAGGATTGACCTGTAAATTAAGAGCCTTTATGCTCAGCTCCTACTTTACTATAAAGGTCAGGCACATCGACCCCATAACTGCTGCCGCTGCACTGATCCGCCTGTCAATCTCACATTCTATCCTTCCCTCACAAAACCCCAAGATACCTGAACTCCTCCACCTGGTATCAGGACTTTCCTTCAACCGGGAGATGGCAAACCACCTTTTTCCGGTGGAGCACCATGGCCTTGGACGTCACACTTAGCAGCAAACTGCCCTAGTGATTTCCTAAAGGTCCATGTTTGATGAAGCCAATAAAACATCGCCTGTGAATAACAGTCTGCTTGTTCAAGTTAGTTATTTAAAATGAGCTGAAACAACACAATTCTTGAGATGCTTTTGAGACCACTTAATTGTTTAATTGTTTCATGTTTAATCCAATTACATGTAATTGATGATTTGTGACAGAACATGAATGAATTTTGTGGAACCCTGGATTTATTTTTTGGTTTTAGCGACAAGAAGGTTGCTGGTTCGAGTCCAGATTGGGTCAATTGGCATTTCTGCATGGAGTTTGCGTGTATGTGTATATATATATATATATATATATATATATATATATATATATATATATATATATATATATATATATATATATGCTGGAAAGTGTGTAAAGATGAGACTGAGATCATCATGATTTTAAAGAGTACCTAAAACTGACATTTCACTATTTACCCTCAAGTGGTTCCAAACCTTTATCAGTTCCTTTCTTTCTGTTCAACACAAAAAATAACTGGAAGAATGTTAACAAACTGGTTAACATTGACTTCCACTGGAAAAACAAATACTGTGAAAGTCAACATTTACAGGTTTTCAGCTTTCTTCAAAATATCTTCTTTTGTGTTCAACAGAAGAACGAAAAGTCAAACAGGTTTGTCTCAAGTAAAGGGCGAGTAAATGATGACAATTTTCAGATTTGGGTGAACGATTCCTTTAAGCCGAGGATTAATACTCCTACTGTTCTACTTTTTAGACATGCAGGTAAACATTTTATGTTGTTGTTTCTTTTTTACTTTTTTATGAAATTTAATTTACTTTTTAAGTTTTCTAAAACTTGGATTTAATAGAATTTTAATTTCATTTAAATGTTGGGAAAAAGTCTGATGTCACCATAAGAAAGATTTGCTATGAAACAAACATGCATTTTAAAGCATTTTCAGGAGAAAAAAAAAAAAATTATATATATATATATATATATATATATATATATATATATTTCTCTGAAACCTCTGCTGTTTCATAGTAACAGATGTGTAATTTGGTAATTGCATTAAAAAAATTCAATTAGACAATTTTTGGTAATTACTGCATGAGAACATCAATATTCACGAAATAGCAATAAGTTGTTTGGAATTATATTTTTTCTGCTTATTATTCACTCTTTATTAATTAAAGTTGTTTGAAAGCATCAATTTATAATTTAAGCTGGATCAAACGCAATCAAAAACTAGTTCTGCAATGTTATCTGAAATATGCAATTATTGCTATTGTCACAAACATTATTCGTATTCAGTAATGGCCTAGAATTTTAAGTAGTCTTCCCAGCACTATAATTATATGCCATTTTCATTATGACTCG